ATAGAAGGAATATCAGAAGGAAGAGAAGGAGAGAAAGGCATTGGAGGCAGAGAATACAGCCTGAGCCAAGACCTGGAGGCATGGGAATGTGTGGTGTCTTTGGGTAGGAGGTCTGCGGCCTGGTGTGGCTGGGGCATGGGGTGTGGACTGATGTAAGGGGATCCCTGCTGCTTGCCCCGTGTAGCTGCTTTTTCAGGCTTAGGCTCATGCACAGAGAAGCTGAAGGAGAAACCAGTTACTCCTCCCTACACTGGGGGACCAGGGTGGGTAATGAGCCACCTGCCAGGAGAAGTCAGGGACACCTGTTCTAATGCAATACAGCAAGGAAACTTCTAGATGCTTCTTTGTATGGAGACTGCAAAGCTGGCTGGCCCAAGTAGGCTCTGGATGTGGGGCTGTCTTCCTCTAGATATTTCATGATGGATTAGGGGAGGAGGGCAGAGATGGAGAAGCCAAGAGAGTGAAGGAGGTCTTTTGAGGCCAAAATACAAGTTTGGGTCTGCTCTGCATGGGGCAGTTCCTACAACATCCAAACAGCAGATCCTCCAATTGGGCCACCCCTGGGCCCTGAGAGAGGAAAGAGAGGAACCAGCCCTGGGGTCAAGGCATCTGGGCACTACCTGGCCGGCTGTAGGTAGACCTGATTGGAAGGCGTCCAGTACCCCAGGGCCTCACCCCTCTCCCATGGTGTAGTTCAGGCTTTCTCTCTTCCAACATGTCAGCCTCACTCTTCTCTCAGGGCCTTGGTGTTTGTCTGGAACCTTTGTCCCCTTCTGCTCCCATAGCTGGCTCCTTCTCATAACCAAGTTTCATCCCTGATGACCCTTCCAGGTCCAGGGGAAACTTCAGTCTAAAACAGCTCTTCCCCCACCCCCACCCTGATTTATAGTCCCTGCACTCAGCTACCCAGACTGCAAATCCATACCAGTGAGCTTCTAGAAAATACCTTTCCCAGAGGTCTGGCTCACTTTGGCCTGAGTCTTGGGTCAACTTCCCTTTTCTGCTCCTCACAGGTGATCTAACAGAGGGAGGAGGTGCCCCAGGGCTTGGAGGCCTTTGTCAGCCAGGAAGATTGTGCCTGAGGAGCCTGTGCTGCCGGGGATGGGTCAGCCATCTGCCATGGTGCCGCCCACTGTAACAGGACTGGGCTCCAATGCTACTGTGTCCAGTGGACTCTCCTGGGTGTCTCCACTCTGTTCCTGATCCCCTCTGCCTTGACACTTTCCCTGCCCTCCTACTCAATGACTGTCTTGACAGGGAAACCTCAGAGAAGAGGAACAGCCAAAGAGGCCCCAGGGGCCCCCAGCACAGTCCTTGATATGTCGTATTCTCAGCAATTCCCAAGCAACTACCTCTCTGTTTAGGATAATCAAATGGGTGAGGGGACAGGGGGAGGGGGAAATCCCACAGGAATAAGTAGTGCTTTCAGAATTGAAGAAAAGGATTCCAAAGTCATAGTGACTTTTCTGGGTTTTAATCAGGGCAGGAAGTTTTTGGAAAGGAAAAGCTGGTTAGGAGGCAGGCATGACAGTGACCACACATACACCTCTTAGGCCATGTATGTATGTGTGTGTGCAAGTATGTAGAGTATATGCTGTGGACACATGTGCCTTTTGTATGGAACCTATCATTTGGGTAACAGAGAATCAGGTACCTTACACTTTCTGGCCAAGAGGCCTGTGGCCTGTCCTGGTCTAAAGATCACACCAGGTGGGGAGGAAAGCCGGTACGCATGCGAGCACTGGCTACCCTGGGCCAGGTGCTTCTAGCCCCGCCGTAGGTGGGCGGGGGAGAGCCCAGGTCTTATTGGAGTTACGTGAGGATATGTACCTCCTGAGAATACAAATCTGCCTCATCCCCGAAAGTAGAGGGTTCTCATAAAAAAAGCTTTCCTTACTCGACATGGCCTGAAGGGAAGAGCATCCTCTGGTTCTCAGAAGTTGCATGTGTTTCCTCTGTGCTTTTTTTTTTTTTTTTTTTACAAAGACCTGCGTTACTGGTACCGGTTTCTAGATAACCGAAAGAAAGGTGAAGAGGATTTTGCTTTAATGAACTTGGAGGCCTTACTGTATTATAAGACAGAGAGAGAGACACAGGAGGAGGGAGAAGCGGGCTCCGTGCCGGGAGCCCGACGCGGGACTCGATCCCAGGACTCCAGGATGGCACCCTGGGCCAAAGGCAGGCGCTAAACCGCTGAGCCACCCAGAGATCCCCTGATTTTTTTTTTTTTTTTTTTTTTAAAGACAAAGCTTTCTATCTTTTTTCCATCTCTGCCTCTTCTGTTTCCAAGCACTAACTTTCATGGCACACTTTCAGGAGTTTCTTCACTGGTCATTAGCTCGCATTTTCATCTTTGTTTCATTCTGTGCCCCATCCTCTGATTTTCCTGCTCCTGAGCCGCCACCGTCTTTGTCCATTAGCACAGCATCTAAAGCCTTTGGTACTCTTTGAGGAACCTCCATACAGTTTTCCAGAGTGGCTGCACCATTTCACATTCCCACCAACAGTGTAAGAGGGTTCCCTTTTCTCCGCATCCTCTCCAACATTTGTGGTTTCCTGCTATGACCCAGCAATTGCACTGCTGGGGATTTACCCTAAAGATGCAGATGCAATGAAACGCCGGGACACCTGCACCCCGATGTTTATAGCAGCAATGTCCACAATAGCCAAACTGTGGAAGGAGCCTCGGTGTCCATCGAAAGATGAATGGATAAAGAAGATGTGGTCTATGTACACAACAGAATATTACTCAGCCATTAGAAACGACAAATACCCACCATTTGCTTCAACGTGGATGGAACTGGAGGATATTATGCTGAGGGAAGTAAGTCAATCGGAGAAGGACAAACATTATATGTTCTCATTCATTTGGGGAATATAAAAAATAGTGAAAGGGAATAAAGGGGAAATCAGAAAAAATGAGTGGGAAATATCAGAAAGGGAGACAGAACATGAAAGACTCCTAACTCTGGGAAATGAACTAGGGGTGGTGGAAGGGGAGTAGGGCGGGGGGTGGGGGTGAATGGGTGACGGGCACTGAGGGCGGCACTTGACGGGATGAGCACTGGGTGTTATTCTGTATGTTGGCAAATTGAACGCCAATAAAAAATAAATTTATAAAAATAAATTAAAAAATAAAAAAAATAAAGATCACACCAAGTGTTTCCTGCTCTGGGTTATAATGCATGAGTTCGTTAAAATGAGTTAACATATGTAAAATGCTTAATACAGTGCTTGGCAGAGAGGGGGGGTGGTCAGTAAATGATCCTATTACCACTGTGACCATCATTATTAAAATGAATGGAGCCCTGTAACCATCTTGGCTAATGCTGGTGACCTGAGTAAGGCATGTGCTGGATGCCTGGTTTCTCAGGGTACCACTCCCACTGTGTCCATTTCTGAATCCCTAGCAGTCAGCACACTGCCTGGTATGCTGAAAGTTGTCAATTCATACTTCATGGAAATAAGACTAAATAACCAGGAGTGCCCCTCTTTCCACAGTCCTTGGCTCTATGACCGAAACCAAAGCTGGTCCCCCCTCCCCGGGCTGGCAGAAGCAGAAGCGCTTCCTCTGTGAAATCAGCTGGTGGACTCCACCTCCCAGAGGAGCAGTGGATGGGACCCTGGCCCTCCGGCCAGCACCCGGCTTCTCTGGCCCAGGCTGGCCTCAGACACACCAGCAGTCAACAAATCCCCCTGTGGAGGAGGAGCCGAGGCAGGATGACAGGATGACTCTGCCCCATGGAATTAGAATTTTGTGCATAACGGAGGGGGACACTTGACGGGATGAGCACTGGGTGTTATTCTGTATGTTGGTAAATTGAACACCAATAAAAATTAATTTATAAAAAAAATAAATAAATAAAGCTAAAAAAAAAAAAGAATTTTGTGCATAAAATATTGAATTTTACATTTAAACCTATTTGTCATAGATCACTTATCAGACCCAGAGGCAAGGATCGTTTTCCTCTGTGAGGGAGCTGATTCTTTTAGCAAAGATAAAGGATATGTATAGAACGTACAACTGAATCACACAGTATTCAGAGATTAATTCTCTCTATCCAAAGACTCCAATGCAGGGCCCAGGCGCTCAAAGACCTCCCCATGTGCTCCCTTTCTCTTCCCTCCAGGACACAGGGAAAGGATTGCTGGGATTCACAGTCCTACAAAGAGCCACTTCTGAATAGAACTCTCTAAGGATGTTTTTCCTTCTTTCCCTTGCTCTTTTATTTAGCTTTGCCAAGTATAGCTGTAGATGCTTTAGTCTTACAGTTAATGCAAATGTTTGCAAATAACAGGCTTTTATACACTTATTTCATTCATCACTTATCAAACACCTGGGAACTCAACTGAAAAACAGTCCCTTGTATGTAAGTGCTGAATCGCTAAACTGTACACCTTAAGTTAATATTACAGTGTATGTTAACTAACTGGAATTTAAAGAAAACCTAAAAAAAAGAGGTAAAATAGTCCCTGTCCTAGGATATGAACTTCTCGCAGGAAGGAGAAGGTCCTCAGACTCACCTGGGAGAGGCAGACAACACATCCCTTGGTGTAAAGGAGGAAAGAGAGTCAAATTCAAATGGTTACCCACTCCCCCAAGAAGGGAAGGAAAGCTCTGCTAAAAAGGGGAGATGGTGCTCAGTTAGTGCTCACTTTGTTTGAGAAATACTTTTTCTGCTCAAGTTAACTACTCAAGGGCAAGTACTTGTACAGTGCTGTGGGAGTCCCAATTTAGGACATCAGTAATCCTTTGTCACATGCAAGATAAATCCCACATTTTGTGGCTGCTGTCTTTGTTGGTGACTTTGCTTTGGAGGTATGCTTATCACCTAAGCCTCTGTTTGACTGGATTTGCCAGGCTGACTGGTACACTGGTTTAGGTTGGTGACTAGACTTCTCATTCATAGACAACAGTCTCTTCTGGTTCCTGTAAGAGAGTCGACACTATAAAGAGCACAGGACCTCTCCTTGCCGTGCCCATGGGCACAATGGCCTACCTTTCTCTCCTTGTCACCATATTCAATGCCCAAAGTGTCCATGGCCCGGACGATGGCTGCCAGGGACTGGATAGTGTTGCTGTAGACAACAGGCTTGTACTGTTTCACGTCTTCTCCAGAGAAGCCATCTTCGTGAATGATCCTAGAGAGAAACCACACACACCACATTTGATGAGTGCACTGTCCTCACTTGGTACCAAGGAACACCAGGCATGTGACACCTCTGGGGCCAAACTCTTGGCTCAGCTGGCCGAGGGCTGTGTCTAACCTGGATGCTCAATCCCTCAGCTGCTGCACTGGTACCATAACATCTGAAAGAGGAATTTACCTGAATTACTGAGAATTAAGCAGAAAAACAGAATAGTGGCAAAAAGAAATATAGTCTTTTATACTACTTATATATAGCGAAAGAAGTATCAGGCAACAAGGTGCTAGTTATACTTGAAAATGCTTAGAACAGGAGGAACACACAGTAAGCACTCAGTAAGTGTTAGCGGTTAGTATTTTTAAGCAAAGCTCATGGTCTTAACCTAAGTTTCCACTTAGAATTACACTGATGAAGACCCCTGCAGGAAGCCTGCAAGTGAGTAATGATTTTTCTTTTGCAGAAAATCCACAGTGCTTGCATGTAAGAGGACTCACTTAAAATGAATCTTCTTCATCTTTGACAGTAGAAGACTCAACAGAAGGCATGTGTCTACTCTTCTGTCCTTGGCTAGGATTTGACTACCACATCAACCTTATTCTGGTGACTCTGAACAGTGACATGGAGGATGCAAAGCTGACATCACAGTTCCCAGAGGCCACATGACACTCTCTTGCCCTCCTGTTCTCAGGTTCCTCTGAGCTCAGGGGTAAGGCCAGACATGCCCTAATGTCCCATCTCCCTGCAGATAGTAGCCACTCAACACGTGCTCACTGCCAACCAGGTTCCCAACAGGGGAAGAGATGAAAAAAAACAAAATTTGGCAAGAATTCTCTTACGGTTGGAGCAATTAAGAAAGAGTGAGTGGATTCAAAGACTAACATCTGACAGTAGACACCATCTCCCCCAAGAAAACTGTGCAAACTCCTCACTGGTCACATTTTTCAGTTCAGGGTTGAATATTACTTACAATATGAACATACATCCATCTAAGAGCTGAGACTTCTCTTCCAACCCCCCACAGCGCTTTCCATCCCTTCATTACTCTCCGTACAGAAGGAAATTGCTCACAGTTCTTTTTTTAAAAAACAGTTTTACTGAGATATAATTCACATTCTGTACAATCCACCCATTTAAAGTGTGCGATCAATGTTTTTTAGTCCATTCGTGGGCTTGGGCAATGATCACTTGCAGTCTAGTTTTAGAACATTTTGTCCCTTCCCCCAAAAGAAACCTACTACCTATAGCAGTCACTCCTCACCCCCATGCCCAGTAAGCAACCACAAATCTGTATTCTGTTTCTATAGATTTGCCTATTCTGGACATAAATACACGGTATCATACAATAAGTGGTTTTTTTATAACTAGCTTATTTCACTTAGCATCATGTATCAAGATTCATCATGCTTTTTTTCTTTTTTCTTTTTTTTTAAGTTTTTACTTATTTATTCATGAGAGACACAGAAAGAGAGGCAGAGACATAGAGGGAGAAGCAGGCTCTCCACAGGGAGCCTGATGGAGGATTCGATCCTAGGACTCCGGGATCACTCCCTGCACCAAAGGCAGACACTCAACCACTGAGCCACCCGGGCACCCAAGATTCATTATGTCACAGAAACTTTCAGTACTCCATTTCCTTTTATTGCCAAATTATATTCCATTATATGGATATACCACATCTTATTTATCCATCCACCAGTGGATGGACACTAATAATTCTTTTTGTAAAATCTGACTTGATACTGGTGTTAGGTCTTTATCCGGGGTTTCCCTAAGAAGCAGATCAGAATGACCTTTCTGACTTCATGAGCTTCTTTACCCCTACATCTATTTCTGTGCAAGTTTCCAGAGGGAGTATACACCCAGTCTGGATCATTGGTGCACTACCCTAGAGGGATCTTAAAGAAGTTGCTAGGTCCCACTGTAAACAACTAGAAAATTGGAGAAAATATATGAAACAAGCAGTTTTGGAGACCATATAGGACTGTGATCCTGAAGACAAAGGGAAACAAATAATGGTGAGTTCTGTGATGGCCTCGGCTTTCCCCTGGAGGCATTTACCAGCCCTCAGCGCAGGGACAGAGAGCCTAGGCAGAGTGCACAAGTCTTACTAAGTTGATGAGACAAAGATCCAAGTTCAGGAAGGCTGAGGTGGCTGGAATTCCAGGAGAGAGAAAACTAGAGAGACAAAGAGAAAGGAAGCTCCCTTTGCATGAATAGGCATCTTCTTGGGTCTTGAGCTGAATAAGGTAAGACTACATGAGCTCAGCAAGGAGCAAACACCAGGGAGCTTAAAAGCAGAATACTTCCCAGGGCTCACCCAAGGCTGGAAGATGTGCAAGTTCTGACCTAGGCAGAGTGGAGAGTCCTTGCTGAACACTGAGGACACTCAGCAGAGACCCTAAGAAGGCTCATGCCATAGCAGTAGGGCAAAACTGGCCCTAGAATAAAAGCTACTTTAGACCTGCCCCTGCTTAAAAATTAGCCTTAAAAAAAAAAAAAAATCAAGCTGACCCCTAAGTAACTTAATTAGAATAAAGTTCAATACTTTCAGTGACAACAACAAAATCAGACACTCAACAATATGATATTTTTAATATCCAGCATCCAATACAAAATTCCTGGCTATGCAAAGAAGCCAATGTGACCCACAACCAGGAGAAAAATCAGTTAGCAAAAGCAGACTCAGGAGTGACAGAGATGATGTAATTAACAGTAAAGACTTTAAAAATATCTATTTAAAATATTTTCAAGAAATTAAAGGCAAATATGAATATAATGAGTAGAGAAATGGAAGACACAAAAAAGAACAGAATGGGATATCTAGAGATGAAAATACAATATTTGAGATAAAAATTTCCCAGTATGGGGTTAACTCATAGAAGGTTAGTGACCTTGAACACAATGGAAACTATCCAAACTAAAGCAAAGAGAGGAAAAAGGCTAAAAAAAAAAAAAAAAAAAAAAAGGCATTGTGATATTTATAATATATGTAAAACTAAAACATATGCAATAATAGCACAAAGGATGGGAGGGCTAAAATAGAAATATACTGTTGAAAAATTCTGATAAATGAAGCACTTAAAAGTAAAGCATGGTAAGTTAAGATATATACTGTAAATTGTAGACAACTTAAAAGCTATATAAAAAAGCCAATTGTTACCCAGGCTCCACAACCAGACACCCCTCCAAGGGTGGGACTTGCTGGGTAACCTAAGAGGTGCAGCTGGGACTAGTCAGTCCTCATGATACTCTCTCCCAAGAAACCAGTGCAATGAGTTTCTCATTCTTCGTTCTGGACCAGCAGGCCTTAACCACTCTCCTGGTAATACTCTCTAGGTCCTTGGCTGCCTTCAGGATCTGCCTCCACTAGGGTTTGGAACTCTAATTTTTCACACCCATTAGTATCACTCATCATACCACCCTAACACAAATAGTAAGTCCTCAAACATCAGCTGCTGTTATTATTTTCTTTCTTTCTTCCTTCCTTCCTTCCTTCCTTCCTTCCTTCCTTCCTTCCTTCCTTCCTTTTCTCTCCTTTCTTTCTTTTTCTTTCTTCTTTCTTTCTTTTTCTTTCTTCTTTCTTTTTCTTTCTTTCTTTCTTTCTCTTTCTTTCTTTCTTTCTTTCTTTCTTTTTCCTTCTTTCTGATTTTACTTATTTATTTATGAGAGACACAGAGAGACAGAGGTAGAGACACAGGTAGAGAAGCAGGCTCCCTGCAGAGAGGCTCCTGTGGGACTCGATCCCAGGACCCCAGGTTCATGCCCTGAGCCCAAGAAAGATGCTCAACTATTGAGCTACCTAGGCATCTCTATTTTGTTTCTTTTACACCACCAATGAAGGAAGTTCTGTTCGGGGGATTCTGACTTTAGAATGTGGGTATTACTATTCAGAGCTACCATTTATTATATACTTATGATGTGACAGGCACTTGGCATTTATTCCTCACAACAGCTCCTCGTAGATAAGAAACTCAAGACCTGAAGGGTTAAATCCTTTACCAATGACACCCAGGGATAGAACTGGGCTTGCCTACATCTGCCTGGCTCCTGAGCCTAAGGAGTCAGCCTCCCACTGCTGTACTCTGCCTCTCCAGATAAGATGGGGAAATAGAAAATAAAGAAAATAAAGATCTTAAGTGATACTTTTAAGGATATATGACTCAAATCATTGCTGGTGGAGGGCAAAGAAGATGAGGAAGGTGGCATGAAAGTAATACTAAAAGGATTGATTCTTAAAAATTTTAGTGTTTTCCCCTGAGTGGTGGGATTACTAACAGTATCTTTTTGTTTTGTTTTGTTTTTGTTTTTTATGTTGTTTTGTATGGTCCAACTTTTCCAGTGTTAGCACTACTTCTTGGTAGAGGCCAATTTAAAATTCTACCCTGAAACAGGAAGCCCAATTTTAAGCTAATATAAGCCAGTCTGAACAAGTTACAAAACTAACAGGACTAGAGCAAGTTTCTCCCACATTGAATCATTTCTGCAAACCTTACATGAAGCTTCTTTATCTTGTGCCATCCCAGGCACCAGGCTGAGACCCTCCAGGCAGTTTTCTATCCAGTCCAGTCCAAGCATTGAGGCAGAGTACAAAAGTGAAGTGTACTGGGGACCCATGCTCTGCTCCTAGGCTGAGAAGACATTAGCAGATTACTCTGTCCTTCTCAGGCTCACCTCCTCTTCTGTCAAGCAAGTATAATAAAAACCTACACATCCTATATCCAGGCTCCCAGAAGATCCAGAGATTTCACACACAAAGTGAGTATCTGAACATGTCCTATGATATCAGTCCAGGAGTGTGGGGCAAAGAAAGGAGGTGTCTTGTCAGGGTGTATGTATGTGTGTGTGTATTTTGTGTGTGTGTGTGTGTGTGTGTGTGTGTGTATGTATTTTTAAAGTAGGCTCTATGCCCAACGTGGGGCTTGAGCTTGCAACCCTGAGATTGAGAGGCACATACTTTACCAACTGAGCCAGCCAGGTGCCCCTGGTCAGGGGTT